TTCAAGTTGTTTCCAGTAAAAACCAGATCATCAACATACAGACAAATTATCACAATATCACTAGAATCCGTGCATTTGACATACAAAGTGTGCTCATGAGGACATCTCATAAAACCACTTTCAACAAAATGAGGTAATGCAACCATACCACGTCCTAGGCGCTTGCTTTAAGCCATACAAGGCTTTTCTCAACCTGTACACTTTATTTTCCTCCCCTTTCTTCAGAAATCCTGCAGGTTGCTCAACATATATTTCTTCTTCAAGAAAACCATTCAGAAAAGCAGACTTGACATCCATTTGATGCAATTTCCAATCATTTTGAGCAGCAAGAGAAATAACCATTCGAACTGTATCAAGTCTACTAACAGGAGCAAAAACCTCAAAATAATAAATACCTGGTTTCTGCTTGTAACCCTTTGCTACCAACCGTGCCTTAAAACGATCAATTTCTCCATTTGACTTGTACTTCGTTCTGTAAACCCACTTCACTCCAATCGGCTTCTTTCCAGGAGGTAAATCTGTTAACTCCTAGGTACCATTCTTTTCAATGGCACGTATCTCCTCATCCATCGCCTTAAGCCAATGAGCTTCTGTAGCAGCTCCTCAAAAAAAGGATCACAATCTGCAAAGAGGGCAAATTGAACAATCTCCTCATCAGACAGGTCATTATCATGACTCAAAACATAATCCTGCAAGGGAGTTGGTAAGTGGCGCTCGCGTTGTGATCGTCGAACTGACGACTCTGGCTGTGAAGGAGACTGGACATGATCTGGAATCGGTTGCTCATCAACAATATTTTCAACAACAGGAATAACAGCTGAACTTTCATCTTTAGCTAACCAATCCCAGGCACCATATTCATCAAAAGTGACATCACGACTTATAACAACCTTTTTAGTTTCAGGATTGTATAGTTTATAAGCCTTGGAAGCGTCACTATAACCAATGAATATACACTTCTCACCTTTATCATCCAACTTCTTTCTCAACGGATCTGGCACATGTGCATATGCCAAACATCCAAAAACCTTGAGATATTTGATAGAGGGTTTTCTCCCACTCCAAGCTTCTTCGGGTGTCTTATCACAGACACTTTTAGTTGGACACCTATTCAACACATAGACAGCACAAGCAACAGCTTCTGCCCAAAAAGGCTTAGGCAGATTCTTAGATTTCAACATGCACCTCACCATATCCATGATAGACCTATTCTTTCTCTCAGCCACTTCGTTTTGTTGTGGAGTGTATCTGGCTGTCATTTGGTGCTGAATACCCTTTTCTTTCATAAAATTATCACAAGCAATATATTCTGTACCTCTATCAGTTCTCAAGATTTTAATCTCATAACCACTTGGCTTTTCAACAAAAGTCTTAAATTGTTTGAAAACATCACATGCTTCAGACTTTTGCTTCAGAAAGTAAACCCATGTTTTCCTACTGAAATCATCAATGAAAGTAATAAAGTACTTACAACCTCCATGTGAGGGTACCTCCAATGAACACAGGTCTGAATGAATAATCCCCAACTGTTTTGTGGCTCTTCTTGACTTGCCAACGGGGAATGGATCTCTATGCTTCTTCCCAATCACACAAATCTCACATATACGATCAGGGACATTCACAACAGGTAAATCAGAAACAAGTTCCTTTCTCGCAAGATAGTGTAATCCCGAGAAATGGAAATGCCCAAACCGCATATGCCACAACCAATTATCATCGCAAACTTCATAATTAAAGCAAGCAAGGAGAGTATGCTTAATTTTCAAAGGAAATAGTCGATTTTGGGACATATTTACCTTTGCAATCAAAACTCCTTTAGCATCTGCAATGGTACAACACCCCTGAGCAATATGTATCTTATATCCTTTTTCTGACAACTGACCCATACTCAACAAATTTTGGTGTAGTTCAGGAACATAGAACACATCGGATATAAAATTGTGAGTACCATCCTTCAACTGAATAGAGATTTTACATTTTCCCAAAATTGGCACTTAGGACTTATTGCCAAATGTCACTTTAGACCGGACTGATTCATCCAGTTCAGAAAACAATTATTTCTTCCCACACATATGGTTACTACACCCAGTATCCAAGAACCATATGTTCTTATCTGCAGAAAAACTATTGCTGGCCAGAAGTAATGTTTCATAACTCTCACCAGAATTTTCAGCAATGTTTGCTTGATTTCCACGATTGTCCTCATTATACTAGCAATCTGCAATCTTGTGTCCATACTTGCCACAATTGTAGCAATGAAATGGAAATTTACCTCCTTGTTTGGTATTACCTTCACCTCTTCCTTGGTTGAAGTTACCACTTCCTCCTCCTTGGTTGAAGTTACCACGACCTCTTCCACCAGAACCTCCTCTTCCTCTTCCACGATCTCTACCAGATCCTCCACCTCTTTGATTAGTGCCAGTCACATTAAGGATGACTTGACTCTTCAAAGCTTCTTCTACTAGTGGTTCCGATTTTGAAGCAATTATGTCAATATGACTTTCTACCATACCTTTCAGCTCTACAATTGATAAGAGCTCAGTTTTGTGTGACTCTGTGATCGAAGCCACCACATGGTCATACTTCATCCGCATAGTTCGAAGAAATTTTTCAACCACTGCACCATCTTCAATCGTATCTCCGTATAACCTCATCTTATTCACCATATCAATAAGACGAGTGAAATACATATCTACTGTTTCTGTAGAGGTCATCTCACAATTATCGTACAACCTTCTCAACGACTGCAACTTAGACTTCTGCGCCTAATCGACTCCTTTGTGGGACACCTTTAAGATGTCCCAAGCTTGTTTTGTTGTTTGAGCACGAGCTAATTGCCCAAAAATAGAATAATGAACACCTTGGTGAATCTGACCCAAGGCCAACTGATCTCGCCGTGTTTGGGCTGCATCAGCTCCTTCGGGTAGACCAGGATGAACAAAGCTCCAAAGATTTTGAGCTTTCAAATGTGTAAACATCATAATTTGCCAATAATTGTAATCGAGTTTCCCGTCCAATTTGGGACCCGACCATACAATATTGAAATTTGCAGCCATATTTCACTACGGAAAATATCTTAGGATTGAAAGGTTGACTCGCTCTGATACCAAATGTTAGATATATTAAATAATAATATATCTAATTATATATATATATATATATATATATATATATATATATATATATATATATATATATATATAATTGAGAAGAAGAGAGAGGGGGAGGAAAGCTTTGTAATTTTATTGATGATTAGAATGTTTGATAACATTAACTATTTATACTAAGCAAATACAATCAAAATGCTAAAAAGAAGGAATTAATGCTCCATGACCCCACACTGCACTTCCCACGTACTGCATTACTCTATGCATGTATCACCTCACATTTCATTTAATTATTACTTGGTTTACTAATTTATAATAATAAGAGTTAATACCATCTGAGGTCCTCCGAGTATAGTGGTTTTGCCACGTTTAGTTCTAAACTTTCAAATTGACCATCTGTGGTCCTTCAACTTTCAAATTTAACAATTCGCGGTCCAAGTTAACCACCCATGGTCCTTCAAGTTTCAAAACTTAACCAGCTATGGTCCTCTTGAACGGACCATGGTTGGTTAAAATTTAATACTTTAAGGACCATGAGTGGTTAATTTGGACCAAAAATTGTTAAATTTGAAAGTCGAAGGACCACAGATGGTCAATTTGAAAGTTTAGGACTAAACGTGGCAAAACCACTATACTCGAAGGACCTCATATGGTATTAACTCTAATAATAATAATTATAATAATAATAATAATAATAATTATTATTATTATTATTATTATTATTATTATTATTATTATTATTATTATTATTATAACAATATTTGCTATTTGTGTACAATGTATATATAATGGTCAGATTGATTAACAGCTTCTTGAATCTGAAAGTTGAACACAATTGAGAGCTGTGAGCCACCATGCCCTGTAATATGCTATTTCTTCCAATTCTCGCTCCCATTGTGCATTTGTGCTTGTAGTTAAATCTTTCCTCGGTTGAAATTTCATTCTGCAAATTAAATTCGAACCACAATTAGGCATACATACATATTACACGCACACACACAAGTTCTAATCAATATGAAAAATGTTATATGCACTAAATATCCCGCTCCAACATTAGCCACGCTGTATGTAGTGCTTCTTTTTTTCTCCAAATCTTAAAAAAAAAAAAAAAAAAAAAAAAAAAAAAAAAAAACATATGACGCTAGAGGCAAATTATTGGGTGGACCATGGACCATACAATTGTGTGGACCACGAATATCAGGTACATTTTTAATATATTAAAAGTACATTATTTTTGTACTGAAGATACATTATATAAAATAATGTACCTAATGGATATATTATGATTAGAGCAAACCGATCCGGGAAAGCGGAGCAAGGAAGTATGGAATAGACCTGGGGCCTAGTGGTTGGGCCCCGTGCTCGGCCCAAGGTGCCTCGGTCATGGTGAGCTCGGTCACATGAGGTCGCCCAGGTGAGCTCGGCCACGGTGAGCTCGGCCATGTCGAGCTCGGCCCTATGAGCTCGGCTATGATGAGCTCGGCCACAGTGAGCTCGGCCATGGTGAGCTCGGCCATAGTGAGCTCGGCCATGGTGAGCTCGGCCATGTCGAGCTCGGCCATGTCGAGCTCGACACACCCGCGGACCGGGTCTACACCCGGGCGCGGTCAACTCGGAGATCCAACTACCCTCCGATTTAGGGGGAGGCGGTTGGGGGTTTAGCTTGTATAAAAGCCTCCCTCCTTGTCCTAACAAGGAACCTGATCATTATCTTACACAACATATTCTTAAACTACTATTTTATAGCATTATAGTCCTAATCAAGTCTTGTAATAGCTTATTAGTGATATTCAATAAAATCTACGGTCCCTGCGACCTTACGATATCATTGCTATACATTATTTGCGTTACATTATTTGTTCCGGTGGAGCTTACGATCGAGATGCGGTTGAAAGATCTGGAGTCTTGGTGCCGATTATGAGAATCTTAGAGAATGAGTGGGTGAGTTTGGCTGGAATTTAGAGAAGCGTCTCATTAATTGGGCGATTTGGGCGAAATAGGCTGTCATTGGAGCGAATTAGAGTGGAGATTCGAACAAGTCTTCGTATTGACGGTGAGGCGTAGGTTGGATCGGTGAGTGCAGGAACGATTCCCATAGGATTCTACACACTCCGCTCTGTGAAACTCAAACTTGGTTTGGTCAGTTAAATTAATAACCGCACATCATTTTCTTCATTCTTCACTTTAATTTCTTGCACCCTAGCTAATCAATCCTAATTATTATTCATTTTATATTCTGTTCTGTATATATGTAGGTTTTTACACATCTTATAGTTGATCCATTTGATGATTAGTTTTGCATTATCATTGAAGAAGATTGGCCATGAATTCCAGGTCGTTTTAATTTGCATGCAAAGTTGGGTGAATAAATTTGCATATATGTATCTCTAATGGTATTAACATTATATATATATTGTATGTTTATCTCTAATCTAGGTGCTCCCACTAGAAGATGGTCCTTTGAGTTCTGTATGGAGAAACGAAGGAATTTATGTCAGTACCATAGATACTAATGGAAGTCTGAAAGTAGACTGGCTAAAGTATGTCTCGATCTGCCTTTTTTTAAACTAACATTTGATAGTTTTTGTTGGAGGATGAGAATAAATAAGCAGATTTAGCATAGGGAGTTAGTTGTCATTCTACCTATCCTTTCTTCTTCTTCTGTGTATATAATGTAAAGTGAAGTTTTCTTTTCTTCAATACAATCTTCTTCTTCTTCAATCTGTTCTCTCTGCTATCGACGCCGGAGAACCGAATCAAAGAGAGGTTCATCGCGCATCTCCGATCAAACCGCAGAGGTCCGATTAATCCGCAGAGGATTATTGCTACGGAGAGTAGCAACAAAGTCGACAACACCAATCCGATTGCTACGCAGAGTAGCAATAAATCCATAGTTCGCGCATCGCGAATCAGTCCGATTGCTACGCAGAGTAATCGATCATCAACAACGATTCCGCAGAGGAATCCACAAGATAAGGAGACTCGAATCCCCCGGCGATCTCCACAGTCGTTCCGCAGCGGAAGGAAGGAATTGATCTGCCGAATGAGATTCTCAATTTGAAGAAGACGGAGCAGTTCTCCGATTCTCAATCTGAAGAAGACGGAGCAGTTCTCCGAAGCAGTTCTCCGATTCTCAATCTGAAGAAGACGGAGCAGTTCTCCGATTCTCAATCTGAAGAAGACGGAGCAGTTCTCCGATTCAGCCAAAGCGGTTGCGTCTCTCGATCGAAAATTCGTTCAGAGAGACATTTGTAAGGCCGGCAGATCTCTGTCTCGCGGTTGCATTTCGAGCCAATGCCGCCGTCGGTGAGGAGACTGCGCCGAGAGTGTAGCCGCAGGAGATGCGGCGGGAGGTTGCTCTTGCGCAACTAAACAAAGTGAAGAAGATGCTTGACGGTATTCTCGGCTGCGGTTTCAGCTCTAAATGTAAATCGGTGATAAAGGCCACTAGATCACGAATTGAATTGGTGCGGCGGAGAGAGGAAGCGAGGCAGAGGTTTCTCAAAGAGGACCTTGCGAAATTGCTCGCTAATGGACTTGACATTAATGCCTATGGAAGGACTGAAGAATTTATGGCTGGCCAAGGCCTCTTATCATGCTATGGTTTTATTGATTTATCTTGTGAGTACATATTGAAGCAGCTCCCAAACATGCAAAAACTGAAGAATGCCGAGAGGCTGCGGCACCCCTTATGTTTGCAGCGGCAAGATTCTCTGATTTGCCAGAATTACGTGATCTCAGGGATCTAATTCAGGAGAATGGAAGTGAATCAGAAGTTTGTAGAGCAATTAGCTTCAAGAACCCCTGCCATGGAGAAGAGAATCCAGCTACTGCAAGATATAGCCTCAGAATTTCAAATTAGATGGGATTCGGCTGGCTTTCAACAGTGAATGGCATGTAATCTGTAGTTGTAGCAGAGTTGTTGAGTGGCTTGAGACCAGGGATTTGACAGCAACACTTAAGACATGAAATGTGGAGGAATAAGGGAGGTCCACCAAGCTTGATGGACCTTTGAGATAATTACAAAGCTGGATTCTTATGTTGTACAGAAAATAAGGAAGGGTTAGGATTAATTTGATTCTGGGGCTAAGTGGTTGATGCTAAGTGGTTGATTCTATGTTGGAAATGAGGCCCTTAGCTGATCCGAGTTCTATGAGAATGAAACCTGCAGCAGAACATTTAAACTTTTAAAGTTGAGGTGTTTTGCTGCCATGAAGTTGATCTTGCTGCCATGAAGTTGATCCTTCTTTGGGAAGTATTTCTTCATGCTTGTAGCATCTGAGCAGAAGGGAGAATTGCTGAAGTTTAGAGGCAGAAACAAAGGCCGATTTTTTTTTTTTTTTGTCTGTAAACGGAGAATAGAATCAGATATAAGGATGGAATAATGCAATTAGAAATGATGTTGAAATGGTTTTCTGAACCTCTGAGGAGCTGGTCTGATTTGCAGCAGGTTGCGGCAGAAGATCAGAGCTGATGGATGTCTGATCTGCTGCAAATGTTGAACCTGATCTGCAGAAATTTGTTCTGTTTGCCGCAAAGTTTTGTAGCTGCAATGCAGGGAGATATGAATTTGTTCTGTTTGCCGCAAAGTTTTGTAGCTGCAATGCAGGGAGATATGAAGAGATGGAGAAGGTGTTCTTGGGGATGCTTGAGAGTGAAACATGCAAACCTGATATATGGACCATGAATATCATTCTGAGCTTATTTAGCAACAAGGGCCAGATTGAAATGATGGAGAAGTGGTATGAAAAGCAGCAGTTTTATTGATCCTTCATTTCGCTCTTTTGTATCTAAGCTGGGCATGTAGGAGGGGTGTTGGAGGATGAGAATAAATAAGCAGATTTAGCATAGGGAGTTAGTTGTCATTCTACCTATCCTTTCTTCTTCTTCAGTGTATATAATGTAAAGTGAAGTTTTCTTTTCTTCAATACAATCTTCTTCTTCTTCAATCTTTTCTCTTTGCTTCTCATTCAATCATGTAGACTCTTATTCCAACAGTTTTGTGTTTTTGAACTAAAGACTAGTGCATTGATTGTTTCTTGTTTTCTTTTGTTGAACACCTTATGTACCATTGCAGAAATGAGAAACATTCTTCTGTGAATTTAATTTTAGACTACATGAAATCGATCTGCTTGAGTACAATCCAATTCTTAACCATGTCTATATATTTCTTTAAACATGTAGTCTGCTTTTGTTGTGAGAATTCTCCATATATAGAAGTCTGTTGATTTCTGTTTGATGTTGCAGGTGAAAAAGGTTGAAGAAACAAGTGAACATCTTTTATCAGCCCTCAAGGCAGAGTAGGAAGAACTAGAGTCATCCCTCAACAAAGAAAAATTGCAAACACTTCAGTTGAAGCAAGAGTTAGCAGATGCGGAGACTCGCAACACTGACCTATACAAGGTAACTACTGCTGGCCTGCCACAATTTGAACTGAATATGGTTCCTCATTCTATTATCTCCCACAATTCCCATTCTTGACTAAAGTATGCCAGAATGAACCAGCAGGCTCTAAAATTTTGTAAAAGTGCAGATTGGGTGTTTATTATTGCCTCCCATATCAGCAGGGGCTAGATTTTTTGTTATCCAAGAAATTTTCAATATATTACTGCAAGCATTAGTTCTCTTCTGTACTTCCAATGGAAATAGTTGAACCTAGGATACATTAGAAGAACTTGTTCCTTGTTACTTATTTTACTATTTCTTTTTCTAAATCCATTAGTTTTACATTTTAATATTTATATTTACTTTTCTCATGAGCTGTGTATTATGTTATATGACATTCTAATGCTACCATTATCTTTATTATATATGAAACTTCAATAAATTTATCATGCAGTTAAATGGTTTGTGCTAGTTAGGACATTTATTTAATTTACTAGGATAAATAAATGGTTTGTTTGTAAATGATAGTCTGCACATTATGCAGTTAAATGGTTTGTTTAAAGGATAAATTTACTATCCAAATTTGAAGAGGATGGTCTATCTTGACGGGCACTTTTGTAATGAAGTTACTATGCAAGCTTAGAGTGCAATGCAAGGATAAATTCGATATGCAATGCAAAGATAAATTTTTGATTCAAGCACAGCCAGAATGGCTTACCATTTATACCATTTCAGTTTTTTTTTTTTTAAGAGATACGACGTCGGCTTTTTTGAAAACGCCGACGTCGTATCTCTATTATTTTTGTTAAAAAATAATCTAAGACGTCGGTTATTTATAAAAAAACTAACGTCTTAAGTTAATTTTAAAATTAAAAAAAAAATATACGTCGGTGGTTTTTTTTAACCGACGTCATATCATTTACTTACAACGTCTGCTGTGACAATGTCAGCAGAAAATCGACGTTAAAAGTGTAAAAAACACGACGTTAAAAGCAGTTTTTGTAGTAGTGCCGGGTTTAATAATTCGGGCCACCCCGGGTGAATTAAATCCATCAGTACACTTAAGTATATTAAAAATGTACTTTTTATTTATGGTCTACACAATTGTGTGGACCATGGCCCATGCAATAATGATTGAACACTAGATTTCAAGGTCTTTGGATACCCCCTTTCTGTTAGGTGCTATGTGCTTTATTTATAGAACTTATAAGCATACCAATCTTCTGCATGTTTAGCTATTCTAGTAGTGAGTTCATTACTTTTCATTACCATAATGAAAGGGATATTGGATAATAATCATATTATTTTTTGCATATTTAGCACTTATAGGCATACCAAATTACCAATCTTCTACATGTTTAGCATACCAATCTACATCTTTAAGCAGACTATTTTTTCCCATGCATGACCATTAAGACTAAATCTGCCATTCCGTACTTAATAATAAATATGTAGTGTCTCTCCTATTTTTCTTCTAATTTAGTTACCTATTAAAAAAAGAAAAGAAAATCACATTGCATATTATAATGCTATCATGTTACCATGTATCCAATTAGCATGACAGCCAAATATAATTTACCAATCACCACAGAAATTCACAAACCATCTTACGCAATTACAGAATTCCCTATAGAACAATAAGACACAATCTGTCTTAAAAAATTCAGTTCTCATGCTGTCAAGGTCATAAATTAATAAATCAAGGAGGGCCTTTAGTTTCTGTTGATTTGCCTAACAATTTAAGCAATCGTTATACCCTACACCACGGCGCGCGTAGCACTGTGAGCCGCGCGCCTTCCAAAATAACGTCGTTTTGGGAGGCGCGGTAGGAAGTTGCTGTGATTATGCATAATTGTTCATACAATTATGTATATTTGTTCATACAATTATGTACATTTTTTTTATACAATTATGTACATCCGAATCAGAAATTTTTTGTGTATTATGCTAAGAGTTGATGTGTATTATGTTAAAAGTTTATGTTTATTATGTATTATGTTAGATTATGTGTATTATCTTTTAAAAAACAGTATGTATATTTTGTTATACAATTATGTACATTCATGTATACAATTATGTACATTCATGTATAACATTATGTACATTTTTGAACATGAGATTTTTTTTATGGAAAATTAACCGCCAAACACTGAGTAGCGAAATTTCAAATAAAAAAAAAAATCTGAAACGACGTCGTTTTGCATCTTGGCGCACCATGCAACGCGCGCCGTGGTGCAGGATATAATTTGCCCAATTTAAGTGCAAAAGTGACATGTCTACAGAGATCTCATACCAACATGGTAAGGCAATAAATGCATCTAAATGGTTTGCTATGTCTGCTTTTCTTTGATGCACATCTACAACAGCCTACACTTCCCTTATTGTTTCTGTTTCACTAGTCAACTGTAGAAGAAAGCATCCCAGATTGATAATAGTAATATTTTTTTTTTAAACACTAATGATTGTTAAATATATGAATGTATATGTGTAGGTCTTTACATATAAGTATTATGGATAGAAGTTGGATGTATCAAAGGCGAACTCAACGTGGTGATCTTAATCCAGATTTTATAAAAAGATTAGAAACATTTATTGAGTTTGCACATGTAGTAAACCAGATTTCATGGATGGAAGTAAAATTTGATGTCCATGTATAAAATGTCATCACATCTCATTTGAAGAAGCTGAGATTGTACAGTGCTGGGGAAGTGAAGGCAAAAAGAAGATATGCTGATTATATAAGTAGAATGAAGAACAAGTCAAGACCTCCCTATAAATATGAGCAAAGTGGAATGATGTTTGGAATTCTGAAGATAGTAAGAAAAAGTCAGAATTAGGTAAGAGAAATAGATGCGGTGTTTTAGATGGAGTTGCTCAACCTACGCATACCACAGGATCAACACCTCATTCCAAAGTTGCCACTCAACTGGTAAGTTCATTCGAATTGTTTAAATTATAATTGATTATGTTTGGATTGTTTGAATTATGAGTTATTGTGTTGGTAGAAACTTTTATTGATATTATTACGATGAACTTCTTGTGATTTTATTTTAATGTACCTATTGAGCTATGTTTGAGATATTTATATTATATATTAAGCAGGGAAATAGTTCTATTTATACAGGAAACTATGCTGATTTTATATCAAAATTTTGTTTGTTTTATATAATAATTATGTGTTATTGTGTTGGTAGAAATTTGTATTGACACTATTATGATAAAATCATTGTGATTTAATTTTATTGTGTCTATTGAGTTAATCTTTGTTTTATTGGAGATAGTTCTATTTATAAAGGAAACTCTGCTGAATAGTTTTTCTAAATGTTTTTCATTTTAAAATAATAATTATGTATTTTTATGTTGGTAGAAACTTTTATTGACACTATTGTGATAAAAACAACGTGATTATATTATATTATATTCTGCTTATTGAGTTGATGTTTGAAATATTTTTATTATATATATTAATTTTATTTGTTTTAATTTTTATTTTATTTTGTTTCTATTTTAACTAATTTTTAGGAAAAACAATTTATGGTCGCCGTCCATCATATTTTGAATTATTCAAGCATACACCTACCAAAAAACATGATGGCCAAACATTTATAGTTGAAAAAGACAAACAAATCCATGTAAGTTTATTTATCTTGATTTTCTTTGAATATATATGAATTTTTATAAAAATTGTACTAATTTTTTTTTTTAATTTTTGCAGGAACAAATTGCATTGCAACGGGAGGTATTAACACAGGATGGAGAAGAAGTAGATGAGAGTCAATTGTACTATGATGCAGTTGGCGGACATGATAAAACAGAAGAGTTTATGGACTTGACTCATATGGTACATTCATTCTTAGTCTAATAAATGCTAACACATCGGACAATATAGAATCAACCTCGCAACCATCAGAGAATGCTAATTCTGCAAAGGTCCTAGATGAGATTGAGAATTTAAAGGCTTCTATGGTTCTTATGCAGCAAAGATTAAATGCTCTTGAGAGTGAGAAAGCTGGTACTTCATCATCACCCTAATCACGACTGAATTCACGTTGATTTGATTTTTCTTTTATGAATTACTATATTGTTGTTTATACATCACTTTGGTATTAAGTACAACAAATTATATTGTATTTTTGTTTGCAAATTAACAATTTAAATACAAATATTAGAATTTTAACGAAATAATAATAATTAAAAAAATATTAAAATAATAATTTAGCATAATTGCGATGAAATATAATTTTAGCGATGAAATATTCATTGTAATAATGGCGAAGAAAAGATTTTTTTTCATCCAAAATGCGACGGAATCACAACAGTGATTAGTTACGTTATTATTTTACGACGAAATTTTGGGATGGAAAACAAATTTTGCAACGGAATATCTAGCGATGGAATTACAACAGAAATTTTTTTCGTCGTTTTCTTACGACGAATTTGTGCGATGGGAGACAAAATTTGCAACGGAAAAGTTTGTGACGGAATAACGATGACAATTTGTTTCGTCGTTTTTTTAAAGATGAAATAAAAAATTTGCAACGGAAATGTTAGCAACGGATTCGCGACAATAATTATATCCGTCGTTATATTTCACAACAGAAATTTGCAACGGAATATGAGTTTTCTGACGGAATATTTTTTCATGCAATGGCGACAGAAAGAAACATTTCTGTTGCCAAAATCACGACGGACTCGCGACGGAATGACTTCCGTCGCCTACTTCACGACGAACAATTCCGTCACCATTTTCCGTTGCCATCACTCGCGACGGATTATTTCCGTCACGAAATGAAATACGACAAGCCTTGAGACTACGGAATGGATTCCGTCGCAAAACGTGATTTGCGACTGAATTTCGCGTTTTCGCAACGGAATTTTTCCGTCGCGAATCATGATTTTTCTTGTAGTGTTTTTTGTACAGGGCAGTGTGTTTTGATGTGGGTTTATTAAATGATTCGATCCTCCCATGTGCTCAAGATTGAAGAAAATAATTCCAGGATTATTGCGAAGAATAAATCGACATGAAGAAGAAAATGAGACATTGAGAAGGAAGTTAAGGGTAGCTGGCAATACTGGAATGAATGGCAAATCAAGTGTGAATTGGAAGTTTACTCTTAAATTGTTGTTCGTTTGGACTGTAAT